GAGGGCATCTCTAGCTACATCTTCCCCGGCCGCGCACAGGGCACCGTCCCCCTCTACCGCCTCTACAGCGCGTCTGCCACGGACCACTTTTACACCACCAGCGCCGCAGAGCGCAGCTCGGCCATTGGCTTGGGGTACACGCCCGAGGGCATCGCGGGATACATCTACCCCAACAACAACTGCGGAGGCGTGCCCTTGTACCGCTTGTACAGCGCGAGCGGCACGGACCATTTCTACACCACCTCTGCGGCCGAGCGCAACTCTGCGATCAGGTCTGGATATGTTAGCGAGGGCATCACTGGCTATGTGTATCCTTATTAGTTGTAGATCGTGTCAATGGTAGTGCGCCACTTTTTATACGATCGAATCGACGCATAAACACGATCAAACGCGTACAACGCGACGCGTCTGCACCGCCACATATACAGAGTATAAATACGCGAGACCGCGTTTCTGCCTCTCACAGCTTCAATGCTTTTCTCCAAATTAACTTCTCTGTCGCTTGCCCTCTGGGCGTCCCTCGGACGCTTCGGACCCAAGATCGAATCTGGCGATCTCTGGTTTTACGCAGACTTGTCCTCGATATGTCTTCTCGTTGGTATGCAAGTCGGCACTGCCGTCTATGTGACCAACCAACTGCTGCAACTCGGGCCTGGCACCCCCGAGCCAGAGCCCGCGCCAGTCAGCATCCCACCCGTCCTCCGCGACCAGTCCCCCGCCCTGTTCTACTTTGCTCTGACATGCTCCCCTGATGACTGCCCCGTCACCGTGCCCCCCGTGCGCCCCGACCAATCCCCCGCCTTGTTCTACTTTGCCCTCACCTGCCCCCGCGCCCCCGCCCGCGCCGTCGTCCCACGCCACACCTCGCCGGCGTGGATGCACCCCACCCTCTTCAACACCGTCTTGATGTGCACGCCCGAGGAGGTCCCCACCGCCCTCGCCGTGCGGAGGCCCGCTGATATCAGCGCGGCCACGCCTGCTTTTGTCCCCTCACCACCGCCGTCCTCCTCTGCTCCCGTCGTCGTCGTCGTAGTGTCCATCGTCGGGATGCTATTGACGACGCTGGCGCTCGTCGTCGTTGCGCGTCGGCCCCGCGTGCCTGCTTACGAGGGGGAATACGAGTTCTCCGAGGTGTGTTTTCCCGCGTTGCGTGAGATCGAGATACTAACCTCGACTTTGAAGATGCGGCTGATGCCGAAGATGACGCTGACGGTCGACGTTGGGCGTGTCGCGTACAGCGCGTTTGATGTGGCGCTCGTGAGTTCCCCCCCCCCCCCCCCCCCCACCTGTGAAGCCGCGACTGACCCCGCGCTGGCAGGCGGACTATGACGACGACGGAGAGCGCGTGGCGGATTTGGGAGTCGTGCGTGATTCTGGCGTGGTGTTTGATGACTGTGCGGGTTTGCCTTTTGTGGAGATTGTGAACCTCGAGGAGGTGGCTGCGGCAGAGGTGAGGCGCTTGCGTGCTTGATTGTTTGTGATGAGACGGTGCTGATTCGGTGAGGTAGAAAGAGGCGCAGGATAGGCTGCGGTCTGTCGCTGATGCCCTTCTCGCCGCCACCGCCACCGCCACACCCACACCCACACCCGCCCCACAGACGTATGAACCCACGCAGGAAACTCCCGAGTCCGAGTCTGAGTCTGGTGACGCGATCAAAGTCAAAGTCGAAATAGCGGAGTCTGCAGAGGAAACTGACTATGTGAGCACCCAGATCGTCTCCTCCCGGCTTTGTGCTCATGCGTCGCAGACGAAACCCTGGACACTCGTCTCAAGCCCCGCGCCGTTCACCGCGGACCTCGTCGCCGACGCGTTCAGCTCGCGGTTCGGGCCCGATTTTGATTGTCTTGAGGATGCGGTACGTTTCTTTCGTGTTGTGTTGTTTGGCGGCGTGTCTGATGTGTCGCAGGTGCCTTGGACGCCTGAGATGGTTGTGGAACAGCGCGTGCATGAGGACGCGTTTGTGTTTGATGATGAGCGGTTTGGGTTCGAGCTTGAGCGTTTTGTAGGTGTGGTATGTTTTGGTTTTTTTTGGTCTGGTGGGGGCGTGGCTGATGTGGTGTGTCGTAGCCGTGGACGCCTGAGGTGCTGGTGCCCGCGCCGGTAATGGAACAGCGCGTTTATGAGGACGCGTTTGTGTTTGATGCTGAGCGGTTCGAGCTTGAGCTTGAGCTTGAGCGTGAGCGGGAGTATTTCGAAGTGGTATGTCTTGCTTTTTGGTTTGCTGCGTGGCATGACTGATGTGGTGTGTCGTAGCCGTGGACGCCTGTCCCTGTGCCGGTTATGGCGGAAGCGCGCGTTACTGCTACTGTTGATGTTGAGAGTGGGCATGATGCAGAGCCCGCTGTGGACGCGGTGAGTGTGCTGCTGGTGCTTTTGGCGCTTTATCATGCCATGGTGCGTCTTTTTTTTTTTTTTGACTCGTGTGGTGGGGTTTGCTCATTGGGGTGTAGAATAGTGATGGGAGACGGTGACGGTGTGGATGTGTGCTTGGGAGTCTTTTCTCTTTTTGGATCTGCTGCTTCTTGATCTCTCTCTCTCTGTGGATTGCGGACTTGGACTTGGACTTGGATTGCCGTGCGTACTGGATTATGGACTTGGGCCTATCTTTGTGGATTACATACATGCATATCTGTTTATATCATTGTCTAGACTCGATACCTTGCTTACTGGATCTATCTATCTACATCATCGCTTAGACTCGATACATTTGTATACTACTTGCGCATCGTTATACCTACCTACCTTAGCTAGATGTATCTCCTACTTTATACTATACTATGTCTGTATTTCTTCGATTATTATTTGTAATTATTGAATACGTGTAATTGGAGATTTAATAAAGAGGTATTCTTTTCAAATTGTTTGTTCGAGTCCAAGTACACATACGTCATCCAATCAAGTCAACTCTGCGAGGCAAGTTCCAAACACACTAATATTATAATATGTCTGTATTTCTTCGATTATTCTTTGTAATTGTTTAATATGTATCATTAATAAAGAGCTATTCTTTTCAGACCGTTTGTTCGAGTCCAAGTAAACATACGTCATCCAATCAAAGTCAACTCTGCGAGGAAAGGCCGGTATATACCTAACACTACAGTACATGAACACCACCGACTATGACTTTACCCCCGCCCCGCCTCTGAGCCCAGCATCGTGACTTGCCGGCGGTATAAATAGAATTCATCCATTCATTCTGCTAATTGAAGTGGAAAATGAAGCTGAAATCGCGCAGACTGTAGAGGAGGCTGAGTATGTGAGCACTCTCCTGCGGGCTTTGTGCTCGGCGCTCATGCGACTTGGACAAAGCCCTGGACGCTCGTCCCAGCGCCCGCGCTTGTGTTGTTTGGTGTCCGTGTTTGATGTGTCGCAGGCGCCTAGGAGCGGTGCGTGTGATGATGTGGTTCTGGATTACTTGGATTGGGATGCCTTTTCTTTTTTGGATCTGCTGGCCTCTCTGGATTGCGGACTGTGGACTTGGTCTGGATTGATCGCTGTGCGTACGGGCTTATCTATTTACATCATTGCCTACACTACGTGCGCATCACTATACCTATCTATCTCAGCTAGATGTATCTCCTACTTGATACTATAATATGTCTTTATTTCTTCGACATAGATTGTGATTGATGTATAATTGGAGATTTAAAAGAACTCCTATGTTTGTTTGATTTTGTCTTAGTTGGCTTCGAGTTGCCAGTGTACGTCATTCTTCCCTTGACTTGGACTGTCGGCGTCGCTGGATATCTCATCTGAAGGCTCCCTTGTTGCTGTCTACCGTAATGCTTTCAAGCTTGGGCACTTGACGTATGTAGTCTCAAGGATTCTATCGTCATGTTTCCGATGTCCAGCCTTGAGACTAACATGACGTCGTTGGTCACTTCTGCTTGGTCACATTTGAACGGCGACGAACTTTATTTAGACTCATTCTCCTATGGATTCCCTTGAGACAAAGGTGCCTTGTGTGGTCTCGGAACTGCGTAATTTTGGAGTAGTCTGCTCCAATCAAGCGAGTCTCGCGGCTTTTGTTGGGCGTGTCCCGTCTTCAATGACGTGTAGTCTCTTATCATATGAGTCTTTTACTGTGCTTATAAGAGACGGAGGAGCCTCCGTCGCTTCACCGATACCACGATGAAATTCTCTCTGCTCTTCGTCACCGCCCTCTTGTCCGTCGCCTCGGCTATCCCCACGGACATGGGTGACAGCGGCCTCGAGGCCCGCCAGCGCGTACGCAACCTCTTCTCTATCGCACCAAACCTCTACTGACCCCTCTTCCAGCGCTGCGGCAACCGCAACCGCGCCGTCCCGTTCTACCGCCTGTATAACAGCCAAATCATTGACCACTTCTACACCACCGACAACAACGAGGCGAACCAGGCGGCGGCGCGGCTCGGGTACACGCGCGAGGGCATCTCGAGCTACATTTTCCAGAACCCGCAGCCCGGCACTGTCCCGTTCTTCCGCCTGTACAGCGCCTCCGCGACGGACCATTTTTACACGACGAGTGCGTCTGAGGCGCGTTCGGCAGCGCAGAATTCCGGGTATACGGCGGAGGGTATTGCGGGGTATATTTATCCGAATGGGAATTGCCCGAGGACGGTGCCGCTTTTTAGGCTGTATAGTGCGAGTGGGACGGACCATTTTTATACGACGAGTGCGCCGGAGCGGGCGTCTGCGATTAGGAGTGGGTATAGTGATGAGGGGATTGCGGGGTATGTGTATGCGTCGTAGATGTGGAGTTTGGTGGGTTTGGTGTCTCTCAAAAATAGATTTCAGTTTCTTTTCGTGACGAAGGTTGTTCATAGGAGGATAGTTGGTAGTATCTAACGATGATTTTGCAAGAGAAGTGGGTCCTGATCCTGCGCGAAATAGACGATGACATTGCAAGCTTGTCCTGGCCGATCAGGTTTGAGCGGATCCTGCAGCTCCAGGAAGTAAAGGTATGAAGCAGTCTTCCATCCAGTGCTTGATGATGGCGCAGAAGCGATAGAGTATTTCAGGGGGCATAGCTCAGTTGGGAGAGCAGCAGACTGAAGTTGCTAATTGTGTTCTTTGGCTTCTGAAGGTCCCGCGTTCAATTCGCGGTGCCCCCATTTTGAGGGCGACGTATTTTTAACTTTCAAGGTAATGCAAACGTTCCATGTGTTCCTGTTCTGAACATGTGGGGAGTGATAGTATATACAAGTTCCAAGATCAATCCAAGATATCAAAGAACTAGTACATATCTGACAAGTTTTGGGGTCATGTTAATAAATGTGAAGGTACTCATACTCCCATGCCAGCATGTATGCTAAGCAGTGCAAGAATCAATGTTCCTTTGAACTATACTACTGAGTCCAAATGCAAGGGTGCAGAGCAGAACACAGATAGGATTTCATGCATTTCATTGGGAACGTGTCGGAACGTAGGTTACTTTTGGGAACACGTTGGAATAGGACGTCGGGAACACAGAACGTCAACTTGGAATGGGTCAAAACATGAGTGGATTAATGGGATGCACACTTAGCTTGCGGTACATACTTATGTGTGCAGTAATGCTTGGAATGACACAACCCTCTGCACTAGTGCCATGTGTCAGGTTCCGCTGACCTCGGGGGCTCAGTCTACTGGGCGAATCCACCTTATGTCAATTCACCGTGCACGAACACAGA